TTGTCAGCCAGACAATGTCGGCTGGTGACCCCCCCAGGGGGAGGGCCTTCTCTGTGGCAGCACCTGTCCTCTGGAACGACCTACCCCCGGAGATACGTAGGATCCCAGATCTCCGTGCTTTTCCCCGTGCCCTTAAAACTTTTCTATTTCATCAAGCCGGGCTGGCTTAACCCCCCCCTTAGATATTTTTAATTGTTAATTGATTTTAGTTGGAGTGTTTTAAATTTATTGGGCTAAAATTTGTTTAATTCTTTTTTTAAAAAAATAAATAAATTTTGTATGTGATGTTTTTATTCTTGGCTGTTCACTGCCCTGAGTCCAATGGGAGACGGGCAGTATAAAAATCTAATAAAATAAAATAAATAAATAAGAAGGTCTGGATCGCTAGCCATCGGGCTGAAACTGTGATCAACTCTGGCACGGTACTCACGCTCTACGCGCCTCCTGCTGCTGAGCAATAGCTGTAAATGCAGCGTTAAACACCCGCTGATGAAAAACAATCTACCAATGTCCAGGAAGAAGTTGGGCCAGTGCGGGTCAGCGCCACGGAGTGGACTCGTGAGCGCTGCCGGTTGGACTGCCAGCCAGCAGTCCAAAGCCGCCACGTGGCCTTCAGAGGGATCAGACAGTTGTCCTTCACGCTGGAATAAGCTCTATCGATTTTGTTTGGGAGCAGAAAAAGCTGAGAAATCTCAAATGAGGCCTAAGACAAGCTCAGAAACGAGGAGACATGACTGTCCAAGCAGACAGAGTCGACAAACTGGAGATCAGCAAGAGGAGCGGGGCCTAATAGTTTGCAGACTCGGTCCTGATTGGCTAACGTCATCCCATGTCTGACTGCCGTTCCCACCAAGGAGGAGAAACTAATGTGTCTTATATTCTGGAGCGTCTTATACTCTGAAAAATACAGTATTAATTTTATACAGAAATAATGTTTCCTATATGGTACAGATACAAACCAAATACAGCTAGTCCTTGAGATACAACTCTAATGGAGCCTGCCCATTAGGGTCATAAGTCAAGACTGTTATAAAATGGATGAATCATTTTATGACATTTTTACTGTGCTTGTTAAGTAAATCAACTGGGTCATTACGTGAACAAACATTGGGTTTGCTATTTGCTTTGGTTCATTAAATGACCTTCATAATCGTTAAGTGAACTGAGACATTGGCATGGAGCCTCTGGAGAGAACCACTGCTGCCTGCCCATCAGCTGTTCTAGCAAGGCAAGGTAGGTCTCCACCTTCAAACCACAGCACCTCCAGGCAGGTGCTTGGACTTAAATTGGGTTGGCGGCTGAATTTCCCAGCGTGGAGCCTCCGGAGGGAACTGCTGCCACAGTTCAGTAGAATACAATGAATTGTTCTGCAAGCAATCTTAAACCATATGCAAAGGAACACACTACAGTAGAATACTAAGGAATTTTGCTGAATCTGCTTTCTGTAGACACTGGCTAGTATTTCTGCAAGCAATTCCAAGACAAACACAAACACAGTAAATGAAAAAAATGTTATTTTTAGAAAGTACTTACAAACAAGCATGGTACTACAATAAAAAAGAAAATTTTAAAGTATTAACAAAAGTAGCTACAGTATTCCAGGCCTCAAGGCAACAAAAGAAGCAACAAGAGATTCACTTTTCTAGTCCTCCACATGGCAACAGTGAGGTGGAAAGAAAGCACACTGGGTGCAAAGATCCCGATCTGGATTGGTCATGTGACCAGGGGAAAACACACACATGACCATATGGACCTTAGAAATCACCTGCTGTAACAGTGGGAGATTTCCAGTTCTCAAAGAGAGGTCACAGGACTAAAAATGCCTGCTGCTTCAGAATGGACTGAATTTAGGTCACATGACTTCTGAGGCTTCCTGTTGGTCACAATTTTGAACCCCTGTCATAAGTACACTTTTGAGGTGTATTCATAACTTCAAACAATCATTAACTGGCCTATATATCTCAAGAACTACGTGAACAGACTTCAAAGAAGTAATCTCTGGACTAATATAAAATAAACACAAAGACTTATTTTATAAATAAAGTAGCTTAAGTTTTATAGTCAGATAAATATTCTTATATAACAAATATTTAAAAAATCAGTCATATTCCTGACGATATTTGGCAATAATTAAGCAAACAAATATCAGATCTATAAAACACTGAAATAAAACACAAATTAATTCAATCCTATAAGATTTAGCAGAAATGTGTTGTGCCAGATGTCAACAATTAAGAAAACACAGCCATTCTGCTTCATAGATCCTTGCAACATATTTTCCAAAACACGTATGTTAGAGTACAAGATGAAAAGGCTATCACAACGTAGCCCTTTCTAGAGCAATCTTAGTGTACCTATTTCTTTGCTTAAAAACAACCAAAAGGAAAAATATGTGAAGAAATAAGAAGGATATTATCAAAATAGCAGGATTTTTGGGGACTTGGAGAATGAAATGTTTATGAGCAGAAGAAGTAGCAGTCTCTGAAGAGATATGGGTGGCAGGAAGACAAATTATGAAATGCATGCAACAATGTTATCATGCACATTTACATGTTTGTGTCAGAAATTGAAATACAAATGTATAACAGTGACATTTGTATAAAGCTGATACCCCGTCATCATTGCAGTTGTTGCAGATGGTGCTGTGAAGAAATATATTACCGGGATGTGAAAGACCCACATATGAATCTATAAGGATAACACAAGCTGTTGGAATTAGTATACACAGAATATATTAAGGAAATCTCAATAAATATATGAGTATCTCAAATCAATGTTTCTTATCAATAAGAAACTTTTGTCAGGAAGTTATTACTAGCCAGAACTACTGGGCATAGGTACACATTGGCAAATCAAAATTTGTCTCTGCATAAGACATTAATGATCACTAGAAAAAAGAAATAGAAATATAGAAATAGAATTATTGGCCACGTGTGATTGGAGACACACAAGGAATTTGCCTACGGTGCATAAACTCTCAGTGTACTGTACATACAAGCAACAAGTGATAATCATAATCATAAAATACAATTATCATAAATCATAGATACAACAGTCAATGGTTGTCATAGGTTACTAAAGCAATCAACATAAATAATGAGATACAATAACAAGTTATAGTCATAAGAATCTAAGGAAATACGTATGTATCTATTCCATACATAAAAAATATGGAATAGGTGCATGAGAAAAAGCACATAGACCTTTGAGGGGAAAAAAATTTGCTCAGTTGCTTCTTCTGACAGCCAAGAAACAATTCATTGTCATACTGGGATTGTGACACCTCCCTTAACAAGGGAGGTAAAGCAGCCAATCATTTGCCTTTGTTCTAGTATTATAGTTTTTGTTGCTCAAGGAAACAAAGCTAAGAGAGACAGGTTTGTCACTTATACTCATTTTATTTATTTCTACAAAATATTATATGGTGCTTAGACTCAAGGCTGTCCTTAATTAACCAACATTCATAATTTACAACTCCCCCACAAATTAATTAATCACACTTCCTAACTACATGGTTAGGAAGCTAACCATACTAAGTATATGGTAGCTTTTAGACTGCTAACATCGAAGATTCAGTGGAATAGATTTATCTCGAGTACCTTCTTGAAGGCTATGAGATTTAGGATATTTCACACCTCAAGAAATGTTCCAGAGTATGAAGGCAGTTATTAGAGAAGAAAGGTCATTGGATCATTATGCCTTTCACTCATATGGAGTGGGAATTCTCAGTAGATGGTCTCTGCATAAACGACAATTTTCTTTGCTCACAACCATTTTCTACCCCATTTCCTTGTTTTTCACATCAAGTATACTGTATAACAAATGGCTAATATTGCTTTGTACATAAACATTCTAAAAAGCAAGTCATCTGAATTTTTATACTGGTTACATTTCAGTGTGGACCTAAGCATGCTTAACAGTGTTGGACAGGGATCAAAATATTCTAAATTAATTCAGTAATTCATTTTTAAAATGTTTTCATGAACATAAACTGCAGATCTAATCACATCTACCCTACCTACCAGAGCACAGAGGCAAGGAATGCTGCAAATCCCTTCTCCCAAGAAGGTATATTATCTATTGGGACCAAGACGAAAGACCTTCTCGTTCCTCTGGTTCCTTCCCTTTGAAACATTATCCCCACAGAAAGTAAGATTGGCAACCTGTTTGACACTCTTTTCACAAGGCCCTGAAGACCTGATTTTGCCAACAGACCTGGGGAACCCAGAATGGGATGTGGCCCATCAAGTGGCTTATTTGACTGACTGATTATTGTCTTCAGGGAGGTGAGGGGTTATTACTTTTTATTGGGCTTTTTTTTTTTTTTTGAGATTTTTATCTTTGTAAACTGCCCAGAGTCACAGAGAATGAATTAGGCAGCCATATAAATTTTCATTCATTCATTCAGTCATTCATTCATTCAGTCAGTCAGTTATTCCTAAATATATCCTTGAATTTGAAGCAGGAATTTGTAATGGAAATTTCTCTTTTTCCGTATTTTCCATTTGTAGCTAATTTTTTAAATAAAATTATATTAATTATAAAATTAGTATCCTGGGTGATCACTAAAATTTTTGGACCGCTAAATAGTATTTTATATTGAAATCTGTGGGTTATAATCTGTTACATGAACATAGAGAACTTATTTGTTATGGTGTTCAGCATATGAATTTTTTTTGTGTGTCATTTAGAAAATATGAACTACAATATTTGGCAATGCAAAGTGCAACATTCACCCTGTTGTGAATGTCTACACTGCCTGTGATTAAATGTACCTTCATATGAAAAGCTCTCTACTTCCTTAGAATTCATTATGTTATTGAAATTTTCTCCTATACAACTTAAAATTGTTTTTCTATATGGTAATTTAAACATTATTTCATATCCTGCATTTAGTAGAACAAACAATAGTTTATGGCATTTTTATGAGTAACAACTGTCAGGTACTTGATATGTACTGTCGTATCTAACACTTGATACTTTATGAGGGTCAAACATACCTAAATCCTTCAATTTCTCCTTCTAATTTTTATTTGTGTGTGGCACCATCTTTGTTAATCTTTTTCTGAACCTCATCTATACTTTTAAGTGTTAAGTCATTCTCATTTTAATCCACGTTTCTGAGAGATAGGATTCTTCATGAGCCAAAGAATCCAAACACATAGCTGTTTTTGTTTGTCACAGCAGTAAATCACCATAATTTTCCTCATCTTCTGACAGGGAGTACTTTCTTCTCCGCTTCTCCATTCCTTACAGTTCCAATTTTTTTCCTATCCAGTAAGATTTGTTGTATGTCTTCCTATTAAGTCTCATGGCCAATTTCTTCCAACAAAACCTGAAAGCAGAGTATATAAATCCATATATCACTAAAACTCTTACCATGACCTTTAACTGGGCAAAATAGTGAAGTAACTTTTGAACCAAGGTACTTCAAATGGGCTAGCCTACAGAAAGCTTCCAAAACCTGGGGATCATGATTACCAAGGAAATGAAAGTTGTGGCTGCTTCAGTGCTACTGGCTGCTACTGTGCTACCAGGTTGTTGCAATCACATTATCTTCATTTTCAACATTCTGAAAGTTTTCCAGTCAGTCTCACAATTCTTTACTCATTCCCCCATTTAGCAGCAGTCACTTTCCTGCATATTAGAAAGGGATGGGATGGGATGGGAAGGGAAGGGGAGAGTTCCAAGATTCCAACAAGGAAACCCACTGGTGAAACCAAAAGTTGGAAGATGCTCCTGCTACACTGCTTTTTTGCCTGCCTTTGGAAGTATCTCTAAAACAATGACCCAGTGGGGCACAGGGTGTCTAATACTTTCTAGATCTCTTGCCATGCACATATGTTCACACAACTTTCTTTCAAGCTTGTAAGTTCCCATTCTATGTTCTCTTCATAATCTTAAATATCAAAGTGTGGTCCTTCATTATTCTACTGCTTAATGAATCTTCTTGCAGTTCCTGCATATTGTTTCCTCACTGTTAACAGAACCTTTGCTTCCACTTTTCTATTGGTAGCTTTCCATTGGACCCTTCCTTTCATTCTATGTCCACTTATTTTATAGAAATCAGTGACAAAGTGTTTGCTTCGCCCATTTACTTGTTCTCCACCCAGACTTTTCTTATCTTTTCTTATCTGAATATTGAGCCAGTTTGCAGCTGGTAGTCCTACTGCATTAAGCAAATGTGATTTTTAAAAAATACCATGGCTATTTAACAAGCCATAGTACAATAACCAGTTCACCCATAATTTTAATAAGCCCTCCAATGGTTTAGAGATTTGTGAAGAAGCTCTTGTTTTTTTTTTCAGGGTGGTAGGGTATGAGGTTACAGATTTTAACTATTTAAATGGTAAAATGTTATTATTTATATTGTACTTTTTGTATTTATGTATTTATTTAAATACCGGTAAATGTATATGGCTGCCATACAACTCTTGGCGACTGTGAAAATAAAAAAAAATACAGTAAGAATATATTTCACAACCAACTGAAACACAAAGTGGCTAATGAACACAACATATGCCAGCAGTGTGGGCTTGTTTCCCCTGACTATCTCCATGCATGGAAAAACAACTTGGTCTTTAAGTCTTTCCAAAAGATGAGTGAAGTTGGGGTCAACCTAGTCTCAAGCAGTATGGCATTCCAACACACAAGGACAGCTTTGAAAAGACGCTTTAAATTGTTTTATCTATATTTGTATGCAATATTCTTGACATGGGAAGAATGTAAATAGGCAGGCAGGTTTTAATTAAATAAGGGCAGATGTACATAATTAATGTATTAATTATGATTTTTAATATGAGAGTGCTTTTGGACTTTCATGATATAGTTTTTGAAGTTTTATTATTTGCTCCATTTTACAATACTGCAATCTGGATAGTTGTTAATGATACCTATACTAAACTCAACCTCCCCACCCTTCTTCTCCGGGATAGGTACTGCAGATTATGTGCTACATAGAACAACTTTCAAATGGCCTATGGTAAGATGTAATGTAATGATACCATACCTGTATCTGACTATATCAGTTGAATCTGGAATTTCCTTCTTTTGTAAGAGGAACTGTAACCACAGTAGTTTTACAAGTAGGTTGAGGTAGCAAATGTAGAAGTCATTAATGCAGTGGTCATTAAATGAATCAATGTTTGCAATGAGACATTTTTGCTAAAAGCTGGAAATAAAGGCAGTTTTTGGCAAAAATATCATAAAATGTGATGTCATGATTGTAGGACGCTGCAAATGGTTGTAAATGTGGGCCAATTGCCAAGACCCTGAAATGAGGTCACATGACCACAGAGGGGGCCCAGCCTTTGGAATGTCAGAACTGAGAGGTAAGTACCTTTGGGGGGGTGTCCATTGTAACTTTAACTAGTTACTAAGTATTTTTTCCATATTATAGATTGTAATCCAATATTATTGTCTCTATATGATAGATTAGAAGCAGGTGAGACTATTAGCTGATTTTTAATATAAGCCTTACTTTATGTATTAGCTTCAAAATTTCATTTAAGTTTTACCCTTGATTTATCCTTGCAATTGGAGGACAAACGTTATCTCACTACTGATTTTCATTATACTATGCCCTTATAACATTGCCTTCATTCCATTTCCATGCTACAACTGAAGCAAATTTTAACTATTCCTATGTTAAAATAGTGCTCCTCCTTTTCTCCCAATGCACTTGTTGCCAATGGGAAAATGGCATATCTAGTACTTTTCATTGATTATGTAATATTGTGAGATGTAGGGTCTGCCCAACCCCTACTGACCAATTTAAATTTCTGAAGGCACATCCTCTTTGTTATGATCTCTAAGAATTATCCTCCATAGCCATCTTTGCATGGGCAAGGGGGTAAGCAGGTAGGCGGCTTCCGCGAAGGCATCTACCTAAGTGATGTCTGCCAGGCACTTTCTGATACATTAATAAGGCAATGCAGTTTTCTTATAAATATTGGTTTCATCTTTTTAAAAAGAACTGCACCTGTTTTTTAAATAAGGATTTCATGTTTATCATGTTGAAAAAGAACTATATCTATTTTTAAAAAGTAGTGCTTTTAAGAAAGGGCTAGTCCTATGCTGCAAAGTTTGATATAAACTAGAAGAGACAGGTTCTAACTGTTGTCTGTGGCTGGTTCTGCCATCACAGAGTAAATTATATCTTTTCTGCTGTATACATTTGGCTGTATTTTTTTAAACTTTGGACTAATTCCTGATACTGCTCTTTGCCAACAGTGGCCTGCCTTTGCAGCATTACCAGGTGAAACTTGTTCATTATCAATCGCTCTCTCCTGTTTACCCACCCACCCTCCCCCCATTCCATGCCTACAACTTTTTTGCCAGTTATTTGGACAGATTTAGCTCTTTCATAAGAATGCCAGACTTATAACCTGACACAGCATAGGCACTGAGGACATTGGGGTCTGCAACCTATTAATTAGACAACCTGATAGGTAGCTAAGCATGCTACACTAAGCACTTCCCTATACTAGTTCATATCACATTAGACAATGTGATTGGTGGCTGTTTTCCTGTTGGCAGATGATGCATGGTGGAGGACTCCACCAATCCTTTTCTTTAAAGTGTTGTGCATTAAAACAGTAAGTATAGCAATAGTTATCAGCTCATTATTGTGATAGAATGGAGCTAGCAACCGAAGCAGCAAATTTTATGCCAGCAGGCTTTTCTGCAGAAAAGAAAGAAAAATAGCACATTAATGTGGCCATATGACATTTTAATGCTATAATCCTATGAGATTTCAATCAGGGAACTCCTATCTGACAATATTTCTGACCACTAGGCTATTTTTCCATCAAATTATTGTATCTTCAATCTCAGTGTACTTGTATATGAGCCTAAGGATTCTTATTATTGTGTCTTTCCTTCACATAGTAGTTTGCATTCCAAACCATAGTTTCAGATTAATTTTTTGTACAATTTCTTATACTGCCAAGAGATAAGATAAAGCATGAATTTGCTGCATTGTGACACCAATTCTGAAAGGTAGTTCTTCATAGAATGACATCATAATGGTTTAATCTATTGCTGTGCCAGACATCAATAGCTCCATTTGCCATCTTATAAACCAAAGGGGTCACCTACAGTTAAAATAGTGAGTTCAATTTTATCATTCCAGTTTATAGTTAGTTAAATGTAATGCAGAATATCCTACATAGGAAAATTGTGCTACATAATAAAAAGCTTCTAAGGTAACCTAGATGGGGTTAAAAGCATCCATCAAGAAAAAGATGAAGTCAGTGACAACGCGAACAATGCCAAGAGAACATTCGCTCACAAGGGGTGGGAAACGAGTGTCTGATCCAAGAAAAAGAAGTGTGTAAAGGACACCTAACTAACAATCTTCAATTATGAAACGGTGCCACTGCCCACCAGGGCCAGAGAAACCAACATCTCAAATTTCATGTCTTTCAACCAATTTGAAGGGAGAGCGGGGGGGGTGGGGGGTGGAGGGAGGGCAAAGTCGGGTCCGAGTCAAGTGAAGCCATTCTCAGGACAAGAGCTGGACCCTGGGAGGGGCGCGCCAATTTGCCATGTGGCTTTTTTTTCGAGCGGGCTAAAGCCCTTCATTCCGCATTACCGATTCCGGCTGGGCCTGTCCGGCCGGGATAAACCGCTCTTACAGGGCTGCGCCCGGCTCAGGCGCCTCTCGAGGCTGCGGTGAGTCAGTCGGAGGAGAGGTGAAAAGCAGAGCTGCTCAGCTTGTCTGAGGCAGGCTCGCCCGCCTGCTTGCCTGCCTTCCCTCCCTGGCGGAGGCGGGGGCAACCGTTTGTGTCCGACTCAGACCCCTCCCTCTCTGGCTCGCTCGGTGTGAGACTCTCCCGGGGACGCCCGGAAACGCGCCTGGGCCCAAAGGCCTCAAGCCAGCCGTCTTTTCCCTCAGCCCTCGCTTCTTGGTGCCCTTGCGGTTAAATGTAGCCCCTGGAACAGGCGGGGAGGTTTGCAGGAACATGGCGGGTAGGTAGCACCTCCCTTCCACCCCAATTCCCCCCACCCCATCGTCCCGTTGCGAGAGCCCCCTCCTCGGAACAAATAAGTCCCAAAAGGAAAGGCAGCGGCGCCTTAGAGAGAGAGAGAGACACCCCCAGGCAACTCCCCGATTTGGGTGGGGTATCTGGGGCCTCTCTGCCCGAGTTGCACGAGGTGTGCGCCTGTGCAACTATGGTGAAAAAGTGTGGGGTGTGTTTTTTCCCCCTCTTCTTTTGAAAAAAAGATGTGCGGCTCGCTCGCGTTTCTCAGTCACAGTGAGGTAGGAAGGGCTTGTGGGATTTGTTGGCAGAGGGAGGCGTCCCCCTTCCGTCTCTCTTCCCTCGGAGTGTGAATGTGAGGAGGGGGCGAGGTGTGGGGTCGGGTGCCAAAAGGAGCCCGTAATGAGGCTGGGGTGGGTTGGTGGGGGAGGGCGCCGCGCGGAGTCCCTCGGCGAGAATTCACGTTGTCTTTTGTTTTGTCTTAATCCGCCTGCCCAGATCTGTCGCTGCTCCAGGAGGACGTTCAGGAGGAGATAGACGGATGTGAGTATCCCCAGCCGCCGCCGCCGCCGCCTTCCCCCTTTGCACATGGAAGGCCCTCCCAGCCCTGCTGCTAACTGGGGAGAGCCGGGGGCGGGCCCCACTTCCTTCTCACCCGGAAACTCTGGGTGCCCCCCGAGTCTTGAGAGAAATGGGGAGAGGGAACCCGTCTCTTTTCAAGCGCGGTTGGTGCCTTGGATGAAATACGGGAGGGGCAGAGGAGTATTTTGTTGACCTCTTTTAATTTTGTTTCCGTGAATGGAGGGTTTGAAATCGTGAGGGCGGCCCAAGTTGCATTGTGGGAGGAAGTAGCCACGCTCAGCTGTCCCTCATTTGAGGGCATTTAGACGTACTGCATGGCTTGCAAAATTATCTGTGGGTGCCTTTACTTCCTTGGCAGGCCCTGAACTGAAAATGGGGAATGCTATGAATTTGATGGGTTGGTTGGGTTTAATAGCATGGTTGCTAGTCTTTTGATGAATGTGATGTAGGTCATGTGGTGCTTCTGAGCTTCCACTTTACTACTCCTGCCTTTGAAGGGAGTTGTTTATTTCTTGCCACTGAAATTGGTTTAAGGTGGAAATACAGGAATTGATTTTCTTTCTGGTTATAATGTTTATATGTTTAATTCATCCCTCAACTGAGGGATGTATTCGTTTTTGGGCTAGTTGATGCAGTGAAGAACAGTTTACTTTCTATAAATTTTTTTAAAAAATATGGTAGTGTCTTTGACCTTGAGTAATATTGAGGTAAATAGTTTTCTGGATAGAATAACTGCTTCTACAGTGCAAACAGAAATAATTCTTTATGTACTCCAAATCTACTCTGGAGAGATATGGAAAACTTAGTAAAAGATCTGGGGTGGTGCAAAGCAGGCGCTGTATAGAAAAGGGGGATGTCCAGCAGTTCAAATAAATATTTATTTGCATTGGGTTATATTTTGCTTCAGTTTTAGAAAAAATGCAAGTTAATTTCTATTTTAAATAAATGGTGATGGGTTTGCAGTTGGGTGGGTGTAGAAGGGATTTCCTTCTGAGACTTGCTGCCAATTGGAAGGACTAATTAATTCAAGAAATGTATTTACTTAAAAACAGGTGTAAGTGTTTGAAATAGGTTGCATTTGTACTGTCTGTAATTTGGCATATTCTGTTAATTCCTGGAAAAGTGTATCTTTTAAAAAGAAGCAAATATGCTAACAGTCCATGAAACTTTGTAGCCTTTCCCAACCTATTTATTTTCATGATATGTTTGGCAGGAGTTCACATAATTCTGAGCCAGTACTCAGGATGATGGGGAATTTTGGGAGTTACAGTACAATTCATCTGAAGGTTATTATTTATTATCGATCAGGTTTGGAATATCTGTGAATTATGCCTCAGAGACTTGAATTTTTTAAAGTCAATTTGTGGATTCAGCATTTCGATATCGTAATATAGAAACTTTTAAAAAGGCTGCCATGCAGGAGGTCTTGTCCATTTGAACAGTATCAGATTCATTTTGACTGGCTAATGAAATATGAAATCGCAGAAGACAAAACAACAAGATAGCTCTATAGTATTGGTTGTTCAGCCAGTACTCATTATATTGCCCTCAACTAGCCTTTATTTGTTTTCTGGACAAGTCTAGATATTTATTTCAAAAAGTAGAAATTGTAGAAACTTAACATTTTCCACTCCTGTAAGATTAGTTATAAGGAATGCAAAGAATTCTTGGATGTGAAATATAAAATATAGTGATTAGCTGTGCAGAACATCAATTTATTTTTTTAAAGAATTTTTTATTTGTTTTAATGATTGACAGGTACAGGGCTTGGCAAGCATAGATTGAGTATATTGGCCTCCGTAGGCACTAATGAAAATCCTTGATATAATGGAAAAGTGAACTAACAATGAAAAAATCAGAAGTGATTGTATTTGAATTATATATATCACCAATAAAGATGTAAAACAGTTTGATACTGTTTATTATAACATCTTTTTTGAGTGACTCAAATGCCATCTGCCTGGAGACATACATTGTGTGTAATTATTTCCTGGCCATTAACTTTTAGATTGAATTACTGTGTATCAGAGTTTATCTTGCAAAGTTTCTAATTTGTAAGGGCAATTTTAGGGGAAAGTAAAATTGTTTTCTAATTGTAAACAATGTTCCAGCATTCATCTTGTACAGCTGAATTCACATTAATATTCACAGGGTTGTTTTCTCTCTTCCTTTGCTAACGCATGAAAGTGGCATTTGTCGTATGAGCTTTCATGCCTTTACTTTCTTGATTATTAGAGTTACAGTGGGAAAATTTTATCAAAGAGGAGTATCTTTTAATGAGTGCTTGACGTGTTTGAAATCTATATTAGCTTCATTTCCTGTAAAAGTCATCTTTGTGCCAAAGTTCTTCAACTGAGAACACATTATTTCTTGTTCTTACATGTTTTATTTTGAACGTTGTACCCTGTGTGTTCCTTGAGTAGTGCAGCTGTCTTGGCCCTCTATACAGAGGCTATAGAAATGTTCATCAAAATATTTTATCTGTACTTAGAGATTTATGGATAAAGGTAGAATCTTTACCTGGCCATAAGTGAGGCACTGATAATGCCAGTAAATTGAATTGCATGTTATAAATTGATCTCCTAGTAGAGTCTGGTTGGTGGGTATTTTAGCCTAGAATTCAAATTGCAATATGCAATTTTTTGTGTTCCTAGGTGTGGCATTTCATGCCTTAGGAAAGAAGGAGGCTAAGTTCTTTACTTTTTCATTTGAGAGTTTGTACTCTAAAATTATTTTACGCAAAAACAGTGGCCCAATTTCTAATCTCTAAATAGTGTCTAATTAGACTTGGGGTTGTATTCCAGTTAATCATTTTTGAAAACACTATCTTTCCACCTATCAGGATTAACAAGGGTATTTTGGTTTTTGTTAACCTTTTCTTAGTTTCGTTCGCTCTGCCAGTAATTTTCAAACAAATTAGAAAACAGCAATTCTAAGGAAACTGCTGCCATATGGCCTTTTACCAGAGTTTGTATTATACATGGTCTATGAGAGGGCTAAAGAGATTCTTAGGTAACATTTTGGATGCAGAGTATTTAATTTAGGCAAAATATACAAAAAATTTAAATCCTGAAAGCTGATCTCTGTTGGGGACCAGTATGCTACTTTACCATTTTAACTATGTCAAAATATTAGAAAGCATTTTACAAGGCATTCTTTTTAATGAATACATTTGCCCTTGTAGTTCTGGAACCATTGGAATATTAAAATGATAGGTCAGTGTTGGCGAACCTTTTTGGCACTGAGTGCCGAAACGGGAGCGTGCACAGGGGAGCACCAGAAACTGGAAGAGCAGTTCCCTGTTTTGCATGCGCGGGAATGCCAGAAACCGGAAGAGCAGTTCCCCAGCATGCATATGCACACCGGGAAGCTGAGCTTCCATTTTCCGGCGTGCATATGCACCCCGGTCACCTGGTCTTCTAGTTTCTGACACACATGTGCGTGTGAAGACCAGCTGGCACGCTAGAAACCAGAAGCTCAGCTTCCCGGCATACATATGCATGCCAGGGAGTTGCTTTTCTGGTTTCCAGCGCTCCCGCGTGTGCAAAGACCAGCAGCGGAACCCAGAAGAGTAACTGGTGGTGGCTGGTGTTCCACTTCCGGCACACGTGCTATAGGTTCGCCTTCACAGTGATAGATCATGTTTTCCATTATTACACTTTTTACAGAGACAAAGTACATTAGTCTTATTAACTTTTGTGGTCATTAGATAATTTTAAGTTTATTTGTCAGATAAACAGCTAAATAGGATTTACAACATACCTAATTTTGTATAGTAGTTATAAAGACAAGAAGGAGACCCACTATTATTTGTAAATAAATTACACATATTATGTACTATTGTGTAGTTTGCATACTGACAATTATATTCTTCTTGAACCATTGTTGTTGAGTTGTATGTATACAATGTATACAATTAATTCATTATTTAGGAACACAATGAAAAAAAATGCTAAATTCCTATAGCTGAACTTGAATACTTGAATTTCAAGGTTAATATAATTGCCATTTTGAATGTAATAGTATATTGTTCTGTGATACAAATATTGCACTCAATTACCAATACTCAAATGCTAAAAACATAGCTAGCCTTTGAAAGAATTAAATACTTTTTATATAAATAAACTTTTCTAACTAATTT